GTATACTGTTTCACCTGTGCATTTAACTCCATTCCCAGAATACCCTGGCTTGCAAGTGCACACAAAGGATCCTATTGTGTTACTGCAGATAGCGTTTGCGTCACAGTTGTGCTTTCCTGTTTCACACTCATTTATATCTGCAATTACGAAGTCAGATACTGAATAATTAAAACTGATTTAGTTTTTCTATAATTCCAAGTAACTGTGACCTACTGCAATAGCTATTTTAGTGAGATCAATATCATAGGCTATCTCCGAGTTCCAAAAATCTTCACTTTCAAAACGAGGTCAATTTCTAAACTTTTCTCCTGTAAAATTCATTTTTGTGTCAAAGGCTTCGCACTTAGCCTCGTTTTAAGACAGAGGCTTGAGTCAACTTGAAAAATAAAATGGCCTATTAGAATAACAATTATATTCCTGCCTTTTTATAGGAAATTAACGCTCCATGAAAATAACAATGAAGGTATCGGAAATTAACTCGACTTAAATAACGCGATTTTAGTTGAAAACAACTTTCGAAGGGCGGAAATTAACGCCAAAGAGACGTCGCTACAAAATATCTAATATGAGTGTTTCAATTTAAAGATCTTGACATGTTACCTGTACAATATGTTGTCCACTTTTGGACTGATACCTCTTCCGACAGACACACCCAAAAGATCCTAGAGTGTTATAGCACAATGAACTGGCGAAATCGCACTGGTGTTTTCCTGTCACACACTCGTTTATGTTTATAAATCGAAAGTTTATTAGTGCTAAATTATCAAACTGAGTCAGTTTAATTTATATCTAGTGCAAGGCTTTCGAGTGGTATATATACAGTGAAATTTTCTACGAATGACTTAATTTTTCCAAAAGAAAAACAGTTGCACTGGGAACACCAATCCTGAACCGCGTTTCAGTCTACTTGATGGTAATTCATCCGGTAGATAGCCCTGGCTAGCCAGCGTTACGTTTCAACATTCTGGGCCTTCGTACAAAAAAATTAACTGATTGAGAAGGGAGCCGCTTTTCTTGTCAAGGAGCAGTGACAAGCGGTAGGTTAAACTATAAAAGGTAGGGCTAAGATGTTTGTTTAATAGGCTAAAATGCAACGTTAACGAAAGGCTAACTATTTCGGTGTTTTTCAACTCGTAACTTGGATTTGCGATTTGTCGGATGAACTGTATAGGTAATAAAGAAGAAATTATATTCCATTCAAACACATTTTATGATTGAGTCACATTAATCTTTTAATATTTTAGCCTCTCGCAGAAAAGAAATTCCAAGTTTTAAAGTCTGACAAAGTCCGTAGCTTGTAGTCTAATACAGAGAGAATAATTCTCATTACTCTTGATATCAGTACAAATTTCTCGTAGAGCAGTGGAAGGAAAAGTAGCTCTTTAACAAGTAGCTTTTCTTACTGGGCCTTAATTCTGTTGTAACTTGAATATATCTGGAATTTGAACCAAACAAGCTCAGAAGAAAATTACGAAGCCTTAAAATGCTGTGAGGCGTTGAGGCCTCAACTGTGATAAATGACCCTAAATGTGATAAAGGTCCTAAATACAATAACTTCTGGCCCTAAATGTAATAAAGGGTTTAATTATATGTGTAATAGGTTTTAGCCCCGTATTATAATACATGTATGTAGTATAACAGCCCCAGACTGAAACATGCATGCGACGGCCTGATGCGATATTAATGTTATAGCCAGCTGGCAATTCACTTTCTTCGCCCTATTGTAGTCTTCATAGATATTCATTAACTTAGAAAGCGGCTACTCAAGAGTCGCATGGCACTAGACCACACCTACGGCGACCAACTGACGTTATACGCTGCAGCTTATAACCTTTATAACATTAACATTCATATAATATCATCGCTTGGTACTGGTGCTAGCCATGTGTTTCATCCCGGCTTAAATGTTCCAGCAACAACACTTTTCATTGGACACTGATTTTGCGGAAAACCACGGTCACTACATCGCACTTAATGGTCTGACCCAAGAAGAAAATATTGTCGTTGACGTAAGCGCTCTCGTTTCTTTACGGATTTAGAGTTACCCTTTGAGAGCGTTTCTAATCGTGAAGAGGAAAATCATACCAAGTGTCATAATAATGATGAAGATAGGAAGGAAGGAGAAGATGATGATGGTCTTAGGAATACGAACAAAATAACACCGTTGGTGATGATCAGAGAGAAACAGAAGAAAAAGAAGAAGAAGAAGACCTTTAGTACGTATAGGGCTAAACTGAGTTATTACACTGAGGACCTTTATTACATTTAGGACCAAAAGTTATTACACTTAGGACCTGTATTAGATTTAGGGTCGTTTATTTGAGGCCTCAACAGCGAGCCCTAAACACACACATCGGACATTTCACCGTGAGAATCTCCTATCCCAGTGCAACTTGAGTTAAATACAATACAATTCTTCAGCGGCATAGAACTACGGAGAGTATAAAAACGTTTGCCTGAACTGGCCTTGACCAGCCATGTTTATCGAGAAACGAGCTCATTCTGGTGATCAAAGAGCAGTTTCGTTAATGGAACGCCGAAAATCTGGAACCAGATTGAGATACCAGTCTGAACAATCCAAGCGTGGAGGTAATCGTTCAGATTGCAATCTAAGATTGGTTTAGCCCTTAATGGAACGATAAATCAAATGTTATTTTTCATCTCGAAATCGGGAGTTTGATTGGTCAAGAGGAACGCAACCTGAAACTCATCACCTTCTCCCTTGTTGCGTTGGGATCTGTGTCTAGTGAAGCAAATTCTTTCCGAAATGACGAACCAGCGGGGTGTATGTGGCCCATCTTGATGACGAAACCGGCCTTACCTCGTTGCCGGGGAAGAATTGTCCTCTGTCTGTGTAGTGGCCATCGCCTAGGGCCAAGGTAAGGGGGGAAGCGCCAGCTGCCACCTTGAAAGAAAGATCATGATCATCACACCACTTTGAGTTATAATAGTAGGGACCTTAAGATAGGAGGACGGCGAAGGCACAGACGGCAGCGAAAATCAAATAAAAAAGGAGTTCTCTTTATTTCAATCTTCATCGCGATAATTCAACTCACTTGCTTTGTCAAAAGCTTAGGCGAATTCTCCTGGAGTTGAATTCCTACGAACCACATCCGTTGAATTGAACTTCAGAAAGAAAAAGAAAAGTTAAGTCCTCGGTAAAACGTGAAATTAGGAATTAAGGCATTTCCACGTAGTAATCGTGTAAGTGTCGGCAAAGTAATGAACAAAAAAAATGTGATGCACGTGAAGAATTGTTGTTTTTTGTATTGGGCTGTTGCTTTATTGATGTTCTCGTTGCCATCGCCGTCATCTGATCTTAAGGTGCCTAGCTAGTAATCAATATCACTAGTTAATTACAGACTAGACTACAAAGCGGTAAATATTCTTGCAGGGGAAATCAAGCTTACCGGCGAGAGAGTTTAAATTAATACATACGAACCCGCTTTACGAAGCTGAAGGACAGGACAGAACAATAAAATTTTCAAATCATAGAAAGCCCCTGTAATAGTTCTGTTCTTAATGCTTTGAAAGAAGGACGTTCTAAGAAAGAATCAATAACATATCGTCATGTCCCTAGCGAGGGCAAAAAAGGAACAGTTGAACAAAAACGTGCCTCCAGCTCTTTTCGACCATAACTCATAAATATGTATCCAGCTTTATTCTTTCATGATGCTACTAGCGGAGCTCCACGCGCGCGCGAAGCGCGCGCGTGGGCGGAGCCCCATAGCTAAGGAAATCTACCCATCCCAGAAAATTTGGTAATCACGTGACCGACCGACCGAGCGTCCGACCGACCGTCCGTCCGCACCACAGGAATACCAATGTTTACTCTCACACTTTCTAGCTACTTTGGGAGCCCAGGAGAAAGCTGATTGCACATCAATGTTGTCATCAATTGACAGCTGTCAAAACAGGGTATCCGCTGACCACTATCACCTGACCGAATCGCGGGCTCAGGTGTCGACCCATCGAGGTTGAGTATTTTTTGAAGTTATACGCTGACAATTTACTCGTTTTCAAATGATCGCAGGCTCACGTTTACTTTTGTTTTAAATTCATATCAAATATGTTGTGTTTATGTCAGTATGTCCCCGCACTATTACGATTTTGATTTCAAACTGACTTCAGACGCAAAAATTCAGCCAGTTTTTTTAAAATACAGGCGGGAAAGACCTTTTCTCACCATGGTCACGTGTTGGTCACCCTCCACGTCCAATTTTTATGCTCTGATTGGTTAAAATTTGACAGGTGAGTTCATGCGTAAAATTTATGCAGCATCTTGAAAGTTGTTTACTTTGACAGCTGAAGCTGACAGAGTTTTGAGTCAACTTGTGATGTTTTTAACTGTCTTTTTCCACTGGATGTACAAAATCAAATACAGCTGCTATCAAGAGTGTTCTCTTATTCATGGCTGGTTTGTTTATTGGGTTTTTGGTTGAAAAATGCGTCGCTTGTCAAAGCCGATAATCCGATTTCGGATGACATCGTTTTTGTTTTTCACCTTGCTGGATGCGTACGAGAATTATAAAGGCTCAAGCGATCCTTGCCTTATTTGATAGCTTTCAGGAGCTGCATCTCGAAATATGGTAAGCCTGAGTAATTATTGTATTTAAATCTAATTTCATGAAGTCCAGCGGCGCAGTTTATGAAGCTAGTTTATGCACGTTTGTATTAAGATTTGACTGAGACACTGATCTGACCTCGTATGAGGTTTGATATAAGCTTAAGCTTACAGAACTTTAAAAAGCCTTTAGTCGATATTAATTCACCGTAAATAGAAAGAAAAAACTTTCCGAAGAATATTTAGTTATAATTTTGGCTGTAGAAAGAAAGCTTTGAACGATTTTCTTGTCGTGAGTTCATCTTTGAAAACAGCCAACACCGGGAAACCGGCGGCTTAAAACATAAACTTTAAGCTTACTAGTAAAGACTTGAGGATTCTTAGACACACTTAAATACTCATTTGTTTTCGTGAATGAAAATTGTTGTCTCTGTAAATGTTCTATCGAATTATTTTTCTTTATTGATTTTTGGTAGTCTCAAAAGTGTAATTTTCATCGCTTTGCCGTTTGTTTTCAGGCGTTCATAAACATCGCTCGCAGGAGTACTCAAAATGCCAAGCGTATCAAACGCTTTTTAAGATTACACATCGTTATAAAACCGTTAATAAAAAATAGACTCAATAAATTCTTTATCACGTTGAAGCGTAACTCTTTTAAAATTTCTTCGCAAATTTGGCGCTTGTCAAAAGTTAGAACCGGCTGGCCGTATAGGTGATTTTGGAAATTTTTTGAACGGTTTCGCTAATTAAAAGTCCACGCGTGCCTCTATGGTCCTGAATATTGAATGAATGCAATTTGTCTTGAAAAATTGTGAAATACTGCATTTTGTACGAGGTCTGTATGATAAAAACAGCGCCTCATAGTACTCTTTCTCCTCAGATGTGGTGTATAAAAAAAAAAAAAAAAAGATTGGTTTGCACGCACCCAGATTTATTGGCAAGAATTTGTAAACTTGTCGAACGCAAAAAATTCGGTCTGATTTGTTTTCCAAGAAATTTTTTTTGCACGCCTTATCTACGGTGATCAAGAGCCATCATTGCTCTTAAATGTGACCGAAGACTATTTTTTGGGTGTACATATAAGGCTATATCAACTCGATACAAAATTTGTTTTACTCCAAAATCACTTAGCTTTTCCCTCAAAAGTCACATGAATGTGCCC